CTTTCTGAAAACCCACCATGGATCAGAATAGCAGTCCACCTAGTCCCGTATCCTATCTCTGACAGGCACCAGAACCCTCCAGAAGGCATCTAGGGAATAATCTACCCCCTACACAGGAGTCACCTTGATCGCTAGAGGTTAGAGATTGGTTTAAGGGCTGAAGCATGAGGTTTAATATCACTTTCAAATTTTTTTGTCACTAATTATGACAACTCTGCCTATTCTTTATCCATATAAATATCCAATCCCTTTATTGAATCTAATTAAATTCTTGACCATAATGACTTCCTGTGTCAGAGAGTTCCAGATTAATTACACATTATGTGAAAAAGTATTTCTTTTTATTGGTTTTGAATATCCCACCTTTAAATTTAATTGAATGTTCTCTAGTTCTTGTGTTAGGAGATAGAACTACAGCTCCAGCTCTGTAGTCTCTAAACCATATGCTTTTATTATCTCCCATTCATCTCCTTTCTCCAGGAGAAACAATCCCAGTCTTCTCAATTTCTCTTCAAGTGAGAGGTTTTTCCCAGCCTTGGATTACTATTGTCCCTCCTCTCCAAATCCCCCCTCCCAGTTTTGCAAAAGTGAAAGAGAAACACACTCACACCCCAAGTACTGAGGGCTGAAAGCCCCTCCAAGTTTGAGCCCTCCACCAAAACAAAGCAAGGCAACATCTGATAAGGTAGAACATAGGCAAAGAACTCTAGGGGGAAATTTTAAAAAATAAACAAAAAACATACACCTCCCCATTTCATTTTCTATTATAGGTCACAAGCATAGCTGCTCTATATCTTAGATACACTCCATTGAACTATACCAGTCCAACTACACGTAAAAGTATTCTTAGGAGAATAAAAAGCAACTATTTAATCTTTAAGTAAATGGAAAAGTCTCTAAATTATGCTCTTATCTTCTTTAAAGAGTCACTACCATACCCCGCAGAAAATCTAATGCAGCAACAGATCTATGCATTATTTTCACTTGTTGTTGATTTTGTCACAATGACATGAGCAGAGCAAGTTTCCAAGGAATTCCAAATACATGTTGGATTGCATTTGAAAAGGTGTTTTAGCACAAAACAAATACTCCAGGCACTATATAAATGCTTTACAGCAGCAGCCATATGATAAACAAGAAATCTCAGGTAGGTAACCTTTGAGACTGCCTTTTTTGTTTTCCTACACACTTCCTCTCTCCTGTCCCCTCTCCTACAGTTTTACATTTTTCTACTTGTGGAGGGAAATAAGGTAAGTTTCATACAATTTTATTTCTTATTAAAGTAATAAACTCAACTATAAAAGCTGGATCTCTGTAAGGCGACCAACTACCTCATATACATCTACCTTTACTAAACATTACAAATTTATCTGAAATCAGTTCATGAAAAATTGGGGGTTGAATCTGGACTCAAGGAAATAAATGAAGTGTTACTAAAAACCATATTATGTTTTCCTATCTTTATTAAGTTTTCAGGTTTGATATAGTCTATGCCCAAGACACTCATGTTTCTCAGAAGCACTATGCTGGGAATACTCCTTATCTGCATTCTCTGGACAGAGACTACTATGGCTGGATCTAGTTTTTTAAGCCCTGAATATCAAAACACACAGGTAAAATTAGGTATATTTTACTTTTCTTCCCTCTTCTTCCAAAACTACTACTTGAGACAAAATAATTTTTTATAATACTCAGAAAAACCTAACAGACTGCCTCAACTTAAGAAGGTACAAGTTCTGCCAAAGGAGAGGTTTATCCCAATTCCCAGATGAGTAACGTAAACCAATAGGGCTGCATCCATAGTAGGAAAATTAGGACCCACAATTCTGCAGTGGTGACAACAAAGGGGGATGTTGTAACATAGTCAGGACTTTGATGACTTTACCACTGTTGTCTGCTTACAGCAAGGTAAGAAAACAGCGTAGACAAAAAACCCTGTCTACACTACAGCTCCCACCTAATGAAGCTGCCCATATGGTGAATTATGGGCTCTAATTTTCCTATTGTAGACAATTTCCTAACTGTTTGTCTATGGATAGAGTATTTACACTTTGTTTTGGTTACTTTCCAGCAACGAAAGGATCCAAAAAAGCATACAAAGTTAAATCGCCGGGCTGCAGAAGGATTTTTGGATGCAGATGCAAGGCAGGCAGAAGGAGACAACAATGAAATAGAGATTAAGGTTTGTATTTTACAGTCAATGTAATATGAGTTTTTAAGAGGGTTTGTTTTGTATATGACCACATAATACAAAATGTAATAGACTGTGATACACAAAGGTGGTACAAATCAAAGCTATACTGATATCCAATTTGAGAAGCAGTTAGAAAAAGCACTTGAAAATGATAACCATAGCTAATCTTTAAAAAAAAATCTAAAGCAGTTTAAAATTTATTGCAACTGGTCAAACTGCAACCTCCTACTGAAGATTTACTTCCATTTCAAGATACATGTGCAATGACATTTTACTTTGTAGACTTTCTTCATTAATCTCATATTTTGCTCTATTGTTTTGTTTACAATAGCTATACAGAGGGTAATTGCGGTTCCTTGTTTATATAGTTATTTCAATCACAAGTCTGGTGGGTTCTTTGCAGGAACAAGTTTTCCTCATTTTCAGAGAGCTCCGCTAAACACTGTTCCCATCAATGTAATCAGTCTACAAAGCCTGTTTACCCAATAGCAGAAAAGAATTAAACTCTCTTTAAGGAAACTGTTAAACTGAGCTCTTCCGGTTTGGTGTTTTCATTAGCTTAATGTTCCCTTTGAAATTGGTGTCAAGATAACAGAAGACCAGTACCAGGAGTATGGACAAGTGCTGGAGAAGATACTAGAGGACATTCTTGCTGAGGATACTAAAGGTACTTCTCTCTCCCACATCCCAACTCCTCTGTGCGGGACAGGCGGGTGGAGAAGAGTGTTCCAGCAAAAGTTCTTGGCAGTAAAGGGTATTATCTAACTTAGGGCTGGTCCCCACTTAGTCCGGACTTCGGACTAAGGTACGCAAATTCAGCTACGTTAATAACGTTAATAACGTTA